CATATTTACTATAATGTGTTTTGATGTGAATCTCTTTGAGTTTCTTTGCAGTTTATGCACTTCTTGGATCTGTATATTAACTTTTTATCCAGAGGGATTTGATTGTCATTTCTCAAGATATAATTTCAGTTCCCATTTTTTTCAGCTTTCCTTCTTTGACCTTCATTATATGTATGTTAGTACTTTTCTGGTTGTCACACAAGTCTCTTAGGCTCCATTTATTTTTCTTTATTCTTTTTCTTATATTTCTTAGACTAGATAATTTCACTTGGCTTATATTCATTTTTAACTGATTCTTATGCCCATTCAAATCTGCTGTTGAGCCCCTTTAGTGAATTTTTCATTTGTTGTACTTTTTAGTTCCAAAATGTCTATTTCTTTTTTTAATAATTTCTCTCTTTATTGACATTCCCTCTTTGTTGCATACTTTGTTCTCTTGGTTTTCTTGAGTTATCTAAACACATTTAAGACAGTTGATTTAAAGTCATGGCCTAGTAATTTCACTAATCATTCAACAAGATAAGTTTCTGTTAACTTCTTTTTTTTTTTTTTTATGACTGGACCATATTTTCTTGTTTCTTTGCATGCTTAGTTTTTTGTTATTGTCATTAAATACTGTACATTTTGAGTATTATGATAGGCAAAAATGAAAAAAAAAAAAAAGCAAGAAAAAATGTATCATCTCCAGGTCTATGTATTTTGTTTCCATATTGGGACACTACCTCAGTGCTTAGCTGGGTCTTTTACAACCCTGCCTTAGTCTCATCCTTAGCCAGAGGTTGAAGTTATGCTCCCCTCAGATCTCTTCTAAGCATGCATTCTGCCCTGAGCATTCATGTGGCTTCCTAGTTCCCTGATATACCCAAGCACTTTTTCCAAGACTTTATTCCCCACCTTTTCTTCCCTTGGCTTTCGGCATATCTGTTGTTTGTCTCAAGGTTCTTTTGCCCTTCACAGCAGTGACTTGTTAATTTGCTTTTTAGTATTTTTGAAAAACATTCCCTGTGTAGTTAGGTCTTTATTGTGAAGCAGCATTGTTGTCTGGGGTAATACCCAAGGGTTGTTGTCCCACGACCACACCAGTATGAGGTTAAGAGTGGACATTTAGGCCGGGCGCGGTGGCTCACGCCTGTAATCCTAGCACTTTGGGAGGCCGAGACGGGTGGATCACGAGGTCAAGAGATTGAGACCATCCTGGTCAACATGGTGAAACCCCGTCTCTACTAAAAATACAAAAAAGTAGCTGGGCATGGTGGCATGTGCCTGTAATCCCAGCTACTCAGGAGGCCGAGGCAGGAGAATTGCCTGAACCCAGGAGGCGGAGGTTGCGGTGAGCCGAGATCGCGCCATTGCACTCCAGCCTGGGTAACAAGAGCGAAACTCTGTCTCAAAAGAAAAAAGAAAAAATAGTGGACATCTAATAGGGGGAAGAAGGAGAAGCGCCACTCTCTGAACAGAGATGGGTCCCAAAGAAAATGGATTGTGGCTTCCACAGTCAAATGCAGGTTTTACAGATGATTTTGAGGAGGCAATGTCTGATTTACATAGGGTATGAAAGATTGGTGGGACCAGGTGTGTCATTTGCATTGGATGTGAAGAAGCTGGCTGCCCCACGCTAATCTTTTATTATGCAGATGGATTCTATACTGGGCCAGGCCAATAGCAAATTATATATATATATATATATATATATATATATATATATATATATATAACATATATGTTAACATACGTATGTTACATATATAATATATTTTTTGAGATGGAGTTTCACTCTTGTTGCCCAGGCTGGAGTGTAATGGCATGATCTTGGCTCACTGCAACCTACGCCTCCCAGGTTCAAGCGATTCTCCTGCCTCAGCCTCCCAACTAGCTGGGATTACAGGCATGCACCACCACGTCCAGCTAATTTTGTATTTTTAGTAGAGATGGGGTTTCTCCATGTTGGTCAGGTTGGTCTCAAACTCCTGACCTCAGGTGATCTGTCTGCCTTGGCCTCCCAAAGTGCTGGATTATAGGCATGAGCCACTGTGGTCTGCTGTTGCCTGCTTTTTTAGTGTACACGTGGTGACAAAGAAAAGGGAAAATGGGGGCTGGGCACAGTGGCTCACGTCTGTAATCCCAGCACTTTGAGAGGCCGAGGCGGGAGGATCATTTGAGGTTAGAAGTTCGAGACCAGCCTGACCAACATGATGCAACCCATCTCTACTAAAAATACACACAAAAAAATTAGCTGGGGATCATGGCATACTTCTTCCTAGCTACTTTGGAGGCTGAGGCGGGAGAATCACTTGAACCCAGGAAGCGGAGGTTGTGGTGAACCAGGATCATGCCACTGCACTCCAGCCTGGGCAACAGAGTAAGACTTCATCTCAAAAAAAAGGAGAAAGAAAGAAAAGAGAAGATGGATCCTCCATGTTTAACATACTTGGCTTCCAGGTGGTAGCCCTTTTCTTTTGGCACAGCTACCAGCGTTTACCTGTGCAAGCTTCCATCTTTTGTTTGCAGCTCTATTTTTCAGGCTGCTCTCTGTTAGAAAATAAATTACTTTGGGGCGGCTCTTTATTAAAAGGGAAGCCTTGCTAAGGTCTTTACCCTCACTATCTGCCTAAATAATTTCTTTCTTGCTCCTGTATCAATTGCAAGAAAGTTCTGACTTAGCTGAAACAAAGTGAGGCCCTTTGAGTCAAAAGAATTCCTTGGAAATGCGGTCTCTTTTACTTGGAACAAGTCAAGACAAGACAATTTCTTGGGAGCAAGATCCTTTTACTGTTGTCAGGATTAGGTTCTCACACTAGTAAAGTGGCATGCTATCTTTAAGAGTGTTACTGTGGCCAGGTAGGGAATGTGGTAAGGGTATGTTAAAATACTCCGAAACTCTCTTACCCTGTTTCAGTTGCCCTTTTCCTAGCTGTTTTCTCAGTCACAAGCTTTTTATTCTCTTCCCAAATTCCAGTAAAAGTGATTCTGACAGCTATGCATTAGTTTTCACTGTTTCTGAGACAGGTTGACCCCTAGCCCTTCCTATTTTACTATTTTCCATTTTGTTCTTATTGATGCATTTCTAATTCAAAAGCATACGCTAGCTCACTTTATAGTCTGTAGTTATTGTGGTCTCCCCTACTCATGTACTACCCTAAGGCCAGTGTGAATTCTGGAAATTATTCTACATTACAATTCAGTTCTCAGTATTTTTTTTCTGCGTAGATTCTAGTTGGTTTTATGTCTGGGTTATTTAGGACTTCATAAACGGATGTAAAAGATTCTCTTCTGAAGACTCCTCCTCTCTGATTCTCCCTTATCTCTTCTTGGGATCACTTAAGTGCAGAGTGTGGAAAGTTAAGAGAGCATCCCACTGTGTGTGCAGCTGCCATGCTGGTTGAGAACAGGAATGATATCCTTTCTTTGCTTATGTTTGCTTGGTGTCAGGTGAGGTCTCTGCTTTGCCTGCTTTTGCTTATTGTTGGCAGTGATAGTTGACAGGCTTCACACCTCAGCCTCTGTGGCTAAAGTGTCTGATTTGGAGTGAAAGGGGTATAGCTTCTCTTTGGCACTAGGGCTCCCTTCTGCCAGTTCTGTTTCTTCTCATCTTGCATGATCTTCATTGGCCTAGAGGGAATGATCTTTCTGAGGCCTTTTGGGTTGTTGTTGTTAATGTACCCTTTGGTAATTCTGAGTTGCATGTTGCTCCTTTGTGCAGACTGGGATATACAGGACACAAAAATAAATCCCAGGGAATTCGTTTCCATGTCCTCCCTTGATTCCTGAAGACTCTACCTGTTCTGCTTTCTTTCCACATTTCAGAGTTTCTGATGTTTGCTTTATGTGTTATGTCCATGGTTTTAAATTGTATTTAATGGAAGCATTGGGGTGGAAAATGCTTACTCTATCATGACTAGTACAAGAACTCAACTCCCACAGTCATTTATCAGATGAATGATTAAATGATAGATGGTTCTTGCCTTCAAGTTACTTGTGTTTGTGGCTTACATTATTAAAATAGGTGTAGTATTAAGAGAATTAAGACTCATTCCTGTGAGAGCTCTCAGGCAAAGGAATGCGATTATTTCTAGCTGTTAGGGAATGGTATATGTGGTGTGGTGGTGTAGTGATTGTTCTGACAATGGTTCTCTGTCACCAACTGGATGTCCTGCAGCTCAGTTCAATTTCTCACACTAACAGATCCCACAGGTTATAGGCAGAGGTCTCCACCAAGACTGTCTCCACTTCACACACTAGCTGCAAGTGTCAAGGTCCACCTGCAGTTATGACCAACTGGCTATAAATTCTGGAGTTCCCACAAATCTCTCAGGTTTAATAATTTGCTAGAACCACCCACAGAACTTACTGAAAACACTGTATTTATAATTGCTATTTTATTTTGAAGGATACAACTCAGACACAGCTAAATGGAAGTAATGCATGGATAAAGGTTTGGGTGCTGGGGAGACAGAGATTCCTTGTGGAATCCAGGCACGTTATCCTCCCAGTACCTCAGTGTATTCACCAACCAGGAAGCTCTGCTATGTTCCTGGTTAGCCCTCTAATGATGTGTTTGGTTTTCCTGGTGAACAGCCCCCAGTCTGCAATATGTAGGAGCCACTACGAGAGATCTCATTAGCATAACAAAGACACATCGCTCACTCAGGAAGTTCCAAGGGTTGTAAAGAGCCATGCCAGAAGACTTTTGTATTGTCTATTCTTCATTATTCTTTATTATACTGCAGTCATCAGATAAGATTTCAGGGAACGTGGCATTTGAGTGATTTGAATAATAGGTAGATTTAAACATTTGAAAATGGTGGAAAGTGACATTCTAGGCTGAAAAAGTAGAAGTAGCAGTCACACTGGAGGAACACACAGGACTGCAGGAATTGATATGTAGAACTATGTCAAGTAGTTTTTTGTTTTATTGTAGGATACATGAAAAGGAAAAATAAGCTAGATTTGTCCTATCATTTAATGATATTTATTAATCAGAGAATCATTTATTCCTACAGAGCAGAAGAGAGAAAAGATCTGTTCATGTTTTTCCGAAGCCTGCATTTTTTTGTGGAGTGGTTCGAATATCGTAAGCGCACATTTAAACATTTCAAGGTAAAGTCTAAAGTCTTTGAATTTAAACATATATGGAAAGTAAAGCTGATATTAATCGGGGATTCATCCATAACATTCTTTTCTTAAAAGCTGTCAAACAATAGAAAATATTGTCATTGACTTTTGGAATTTGCAATTATTTGGAATAAGTGGAGAAGGATTACTTTTGTATAGATAAGTGAACAGTTTATAGGGTAGAATGTCTTGAAAGAAGTGTGGTTGCATTCAAATTTATTTAAAATGCATGTTGTGAAAAATCATTCTTTTAAGAGTACTTGAAGTAAAACGATAAATGTTAATAAAGAATATCATCACAGCAGGCTTATCATGTAGTGGTAGACTGCTAACTTCCTGAGCCAGACTCTGTGTTCTCAGCTCTCAATTGTACATTTTGAGTTTAAATACCAAAGCCTGATTCTTGTGAAGTAATGCTTTCTAAAGTCTGATATGGGTACTTTATAATACTTCTTTTTATTTCCTTTCTTTGTTTTCGGGCATAACTGAAATTATGTTTGGTTGCATTGTCATACCTCAAGTCCTAGTCATTTGGATAGCATCAAATTAGTGACAGTATTAATCCACACAGAAACCAGTTATGAAAGTCAACTTAAATAGTATTTCAAGGTTCATATTCCTTCAAAAGCCTAACCAGGTCATGACTGTTGTTTTTAGGACTTATACTAACTCTCCTTTATTTGGGGTTCTATTGTTTGTTATTATTATTTACTCTATTTGGTTGAGCTAATAAAACCTTGTCAGGTGTAGGATTTTTTCCAAAAAGAAACCTGGGCAGTTCTGTACTACAGTACCTTGAGGCATTCTCATGATTTTGTTATATTTTATCATAGGTAGTATGTGCCAGAAAAATTAAATTTCTGCTTCGCAAGTGGTAAAATACAATAATGACTGCGGAGTGTGCTGGCAGTTATGGTAATAGATGAATCACCCAATGTTGCCGTTTCCTTATGCATTTGAATGGGTGATGGAAAATGAGAGCACTAGTCTCCATTTCCAAAGCTGATTTGACTCTAGGTGCCTTCCAGGCAGTTAGGAAAGTATAATTTGTGTGTTTTTCCTATGGAGGGTAGAGAGCTTCTAGGAGCTGGTCTTTGCTAGTTATAACATTACACTAGGATGGAAAAAAACAATCACATTGTTCTGTAAGCATCACCACTATCCTTCTCCAGAAGTTTTTCATCATCTAAAACTGAAACATACCCATTAAACATTAACTCCTGATTCCTGCCTTCTCTTAGCGCTTGCTACCACTGTTCTGTTTTCTGTTTCTATGAATTTGACTATTGTAGGTACCTCATATATGTAGAGTGTCTTTTTTGTCTGACTTATTTCACTTAGCATAATGTCCTCGAAATTTATCCATATTGTAGCATGAGTCAGATTTCCCCCCCCTTTTTTTGAGACAGGGTCTCACTCTGTTGCCCAGGCTGGAGTGCAGTGGTTCAGTCATGGCTCATGGCAACTTTGTCCTTGGCTCAGGTGATCCTCCCACCTTAGCCTCCCAAGTAGCTGGGCCTACAGGCTCACACCACCATGTCAGCTAAGTTTTGTATTTTTTGTAGAGATGCAGTTTTTGCCATGTTGCCCAGGCTGGTCTTGAACTACTGGGCTCAAGCAATTCACCTACCTTGGTCTCTCAAGCCCACTGCCCTCCGCCTATTTTTGAGGCTGGATCATAATCCATTGAATGTATATACATTTTGTTTATTCATTCATTTGTTGATGGACACTGATTGTTTTTACTTTTGGCTACTTTGAATTATCCTGCTGTACTGTTACCTGTTTGCATCCCTCTCAGTTCTTTTAAGTGTAATTGTATACCTGGAAATAGAATTGCTTGGTCATATGGTAATTCTGTGTTTAATTATTTGAAGAACATCATATGCTTTTCCATAGTGCTTGTACCATTTTATGCCAGCAAAGCACAAGTACTTCAATTTCTCTACAACTACTTTAATAGTTGTTATTTTCTGCTTTTTTTGGGGAGTTGGGTGCTGTAGTCAACCTGATATGTAGGAAGTGATATCACACTGTGGTTTTGATTTGCATCTCCCTAATGATTAGTGATGTTAAACATATTATTATGTGTTGGTTGGCCATTTGTATATCATTGAGAAAATGTCTCTGCAAGTCCTTGGCCCATTTTTGAATTGGTTTCTTTTTTGTTGTTGTTGAATTGTAGAGTTTTAAAAATATATTCTGAATATTAATGTCTTATCAAATATCTGGTTTCAAAATACTTCCTGTGGGTTGTCTTTTGACTCTCGATAGTGTCCTTTGATGAGCAGAAGTTTTTAACTTTTAAAATTTATTTTTAATTAATTTTTAATTAACAAATAGTTATTTTACATATTCATGGGTACATAGTGATATTTCTTTTTTTTTTTTTTTTTTTTTTTTTTGAGACGGAGTTTCGCTCTTGTTACCCAGGCTGGAGTGCAATGGCGCGATCTCGGCTCACCGCAACCTCCGCCTCCTGGGTTCAGGCAATTCTCCTGCCTCAGCCTCCTGAGTAGCTGGGATTATAGGCACGCGCCACCATGCCCAGCTAATTTTTTGTATTTTTAGTAGAGACGGGGTTTCACCATGTTGACCAGGTTGGTCTCGATCTCTTGACCTCGTGATCCACCCGCCTCAGCCTCCCAAAGTGCTGGGATTACAGGCTTGAGCCACCGCGCCCGGCCAGTGGTATTTCAATGTATATAATGTATAGTGATCAGATCAGGGTAATTAGCATTTCCATCAGCTCAAACATTTATCATTTCTTTGTGTTGGGAACAATGAGTATCTTCTAGCTATTTGAAACTATATACTATGTTATCTTTAACTATGGTTGTCTTACAATGGTATAGAACTTATTCCTCCTATCTAGCTGTAGTTTTATTTCCTTTAACGAATCTGTCCCAAAAGTTTTAAATTTTGATGGAGACCAGTTTATTTATTTATCTTTTACATGTGTTTTTGGTGTCAAATCCAAAAATTCCATGCCAAATTCAATTTCATAAAGGTTTTCCTCTAAGAATTTTATAATTTAGCTCTTAAGTTTAGGTCTTTGAGTTCGTTTTTTAATATTATATAAGGTAGGGGTCCAACTTCATTCTTTTTTTTTTTTTTTGAGATGGAGTTTTGCTCTTGTTACCCAGGCTGGAGTGCAATGGCACAATCTTGGCTCACCGCAACCTCCGCCTCCTGGGTTCAGGCATTTCTCCTGCCTCAGCCTCCTGAGTAGCTTGGATTACAGGCATGTGCCACCATGCCCAGCTACATTTTTGTATTTTTAGTAGAGACGGGGTTTCACAATGTTGACCAGGATGGTCTCGATCTCTTGACCTCGTGATCCACCCGCCTCCGCCTCCCAAAGTGCTGGGATTACAGGTTTGAGCCACCGTGCCCGGCCAACTTCATTCTTTTACATATGGATATCCAGCTTTCCCAGCACCACTGCTGAAGAGACAGGTTCTGCACTTAATGGTATTTGTACTTTTGTTGGAAAGCATCTGATCCTATTTGCAAGGGTTTATTTCTGGGCTGTTTAATGTATTGTATTGGTCTGTATGTCTGTACTTAAACTAATACCACACTGTTTTCCCCCTCCCCTACTCTCCCCTCCCTTCCCCTCCCCTCCCCTTCTTTTCTTCTTGAGATGAACTCTTGTTCTGTTGTGCAGGCTGGAGTGCAGTGGTGCAATCTCGGCTCACTGCAACCTCCGCCTCCTGGCCGAGCGATTCTCCTGCCTCAGTCTCCCAGTAGCTGGGATTACAGGTGCCCGCCCCACATCTAGCTAATTTTTTTGAATTTTGGATAGAGATGGGGTTTCACCATGTTGGCCGGGCTGGTCTTGAACTCCTGACCTCAAGTGATTTCCCTGCCTCGGCCTCGCAAAGTGGTAGGATTACAGGCATGAGCCACTGCACTGGGCTACATACTGTTTTCATTACTGTATCTTTGCTGTAAATTTTGAAGTTAGGAAATGTGAGTCTTCAATCTTTATTCTTCTTTTCAAGATTCTTCGGTGTATTTGGAGGTGTTTTGAAGTTCCATATGAATTTTAAGGTGAATTTTTTTATTTGTGTGAAAGCATTATTGAGATTTTGTTGGTAACTGTGTTCAGTCTGCATATTGTATTGGGTAGTATTGTTGTCTTAACAACATTAAAGCTTCCCATCCATAAACATAAGGTATCTTTCCATTTATGTAGATCTTTAGTTTCTTTGAGCAATGTAAGAAGTAAATTATTTAAAAGTTTAAAACCTCTATTTCTTTAATTACTAGTATCAAGAATTAAAACATTAATATAATGGAGACAGCATATTTTTACTTTCTCTAATTATTTCCTCTGATATCTTCTGGATCTTTGTGGTATAATTTGTATTGTTTATTTTGTTTTGTTTGTGATTTAAAGTTGTGTCTATGAAGGTGTAAGGTATGCATGTTTATATCCTCTTATCTAGAAATTCCCCCCAAAAAAGAAAAAGAAATCCCCAGATTATTTCTTTAATTCTGTAATTCATACCTTTTACCAATCCTCTTTCTCCCTTATCATCGTCTTATCTAAAACAACTGACTTTTATATGTTTTCTTAATTTGAGAGTATTTTATGGTGTTTTGGTCCGTAGGTTTTATCATAAAAAGAATATAGAAGTACATTATTTTTCTGAAAACTAGAAAGATGACAGGCATTCAAGATTATGGTAGTTTAAAGATTCAGTTTTTCCAAATAAAACAGAACCTTCTTATTTAGATGGATTTTATTTTGCAATATTTATTGTATATTCAATTCAAATGTACTCATTATTGTTCTAGCACTTTGAAAGTATAAAGTATAAAGCTGCATTTAGTGCTTGTAGTGAGCTTTAAGTCACAGGAAAATGTGGCATGTACACAAAATAATGAGAAAGCATGATAATAATTAGGATCATTAGTTATCAAAATAAGTGAACGAGCTAATAATCATTGTTAGAATAGTAATTGTGGTCTTAGATCTCAGATGCTTTAATCAAAAATTTTATCTTGAGGTCAACTTTGACAAACGGGGGGATAGTTGAAAAATGTGACATCATTGTAGGTAGGGAAAAAAACAGAAGCAAATGCTTAAAAATGGGAATAAATATGTATTCTGGGAATAGTGCACAGAGACAACTTGATTTCAATACATACTTCATGATGGAAATAATGTTTGTACTTTTATTTATTTAGTCCAGACTTATGTTTCTAAAACACTGATAATTTTGTTTAATTTCAAAGCAAAGCGTAGACTAAGACTTTTAGTGGGGTACAAGCAAGAGGAAAGTTATTTTAGAAACTTTACTCTGACAGCACTGAGTCATCATAAACTATTACTCAGACTGAAGATTAGATTCTTGCAGTTAGCCATATCAGTTTATCATGAGTAATCGGAAAGTGTTACTTAGAAGCTTTATTGTGAATATTCAGTTTGTTACAGTGAACATAGATGTGTATGGGTGGGAAAGTAGTGTGCACTAGCACCACGGAATATTCTGTTTTCATCTTATGTTTGAACTAATTTATTAATGAGATTCTCATTTGTAAATAAAAGGAAAATGTTTTGTAGTTATCTCATATTTGAAAGATTTTACCATAGAGAACTTACTGGTTATGATAGGCTTTTCATGTTTTCTTTTTTATTGGCGATAGCCAGTATAAGCATACTGGTTTTGGCCTGCTTGACTTTAAAAACTTTTTTTGGGTAGACTTAAAATGTTAATATTTAGATAAAGAAAAATATTTTGCTGGGCGCGGTGGCTCAAGCCTGTAATCCCAGCACTTTGGGAGGCCGAGACAGGTGGATCACGAGGTCGAGAGATCGAGACCATCCTGGTCAACATGGTGAAACCCCGTCTCTACTAAAAATACAAAAAACTAGCTGGGCATGGTGGTGCGTGCCTATAATCCCAGCTACTTAGGAGGCTGAGGCAGGAGAATTGCCTGAACCCAGGAGGCGGAGGTTGCGGTGAGCCGAGATCGCGCCATTGCACTCCAGCCTGGGTAACAAGAGCGAAACTCCGTCTCAAAAAAAAAAAAAAAAAAAAAGAAAAATATTTTACTGTTTTACTGAAGACATTAACTGTGTGACCAGAAAGTGAGATAACTTGAACATTTCTGTATTGGCTCTTTATCAGAGAATAACATTTATTTTATTTGGAAAGTTTGCCTACATATGAGACTATGCCATATTTCTCAGACGAAGTGAAAATTTAATAAAATAGCTGCCTTGATAGGAAAACAAAGTTCTAACTTTATAAGGAATAATGTATGAATCATGAAAGAAGAATGGATGATCATGGGAAACATTTAGCTTTTCAAAGTTTTTGGAACATGTACCTTAAATGCTTTTGGGATCCAGTAAAGGCCAGGAAAGACAAAGAATTGAAAATTTATTGGATTTATCCACTTACTTACATCATTAGTAGTAGGAATAATGCATCTCAAATTTGAGCACTTATATAAAAACATGTTTTTTAAATGGTAGTCTAGTATAAACTAGGATTTTATAATGCTGTTTAGATATTTTCACATTACTTTGTTTTGACTGTAGACATTCAATCTTACTTGTTACTTATTATATGTAAGATTTTGAACATCCTTGCTTAAAATATCAAATTTCTTCAAAGTTAATATTAAACCAATACTTAGGTTCCTTTACACATTGTTGAGACAGACTATAAGTGTAGATGTACTTTAGTTTATATGTTGTACTGACAGAAGTTAAGAGTATGACCCTATAGGTAATCTTTTTAAGCAAATAAAACTGTTCGGATGCTTTCCCAGGATGACTGGATTGCCCTCCAGGCGTATCTCTTCAATGCGGTCCCGGATGTAACTGGTGTCATTAGCCTTGCAGAATGTGTCATCTGTAATTGAAGCTATGTTGTTAAACTGAAAAAAAAAAGAGGAAAAAATTGTTCAGAAATCTGAAATCAACCTTTCATATGCTATGTAATGGGAGAAGGAAACATCAGCTAGAGGTCCGAGTGCCCCCTCACTTCACATCCTTGTGTCAGATTAATTAGGAAATACCAAATATACACCTGGAGACAAATACAATCAAGAGCAGACTTCACACCTACTGCTCTGGTCCACTTGTTATGCTCTGGATGGAATCTGGACTTCAGGACAGAAAAGTTCATTGGCCTAGTATTAATACTTTTGATAAGCAGGCATTTAGCTTTCATACTACTATAGTTATCTAACCAAAATGTGTATGTGAATAAGTGAGATTCCCAATGAGACATAAGATTTTGACTCATAGGTAATTAGAGTCAGATATTGTGAAAGGAACCATCATACCTGAAGATGAATTACACGTAGACTTTCTGGTAAATTAAGAGGTACGGATTCCAGGGCATTGTGGTCCAAGTAGAGGAAGGTGAGGTTATTCAGTTTCTGTAAGGAAAATTTCATGTGAGTGCTATTGAGGTTCCATACATTCTTTCACAAGATTCAAGCATTATATATGTGCATATGAGTATGTGTCTCTATACAGACTTGCATATTGACATAAATACATCAATAGTATCAATTGTTCATATGGTAGTTTCTTCTTTGTTTTTTTTCTGGTTTCGCATGTAGTGTAGTTTAGTCCTTTATGACAGCTAGTGGAATTCTGCCACATATCCTGCATTTCTGTCCATTTATCTGTCTGATCTCTGAGTATCCTTGCTTAAAATATCAAATTCCTTCAAAGTTAATATTAAACCAATACTTAGGTTCCTTACACATTGTTGATACAGACTATAAGTGTATGTGTTCTTTAGTTTATATGTTGTACTGATAGAGGTTAAGAGTATGACCCTATAGGTAATCTTTTTAGGCAAATAGAACTGTTTGGATGCTTTCCCAGGTTGACTACTTCTAATGCCAACTCCTGGAGCCCTTAGGGTTTGTCTTGATAGGAGCTAATGAGATGAGTTCCTACGTGGGACTGAATTTTGACCCTGGTGCTGCCATAACCTCTCCTGTACTTCTGGAGCTTCCCATCTCAGCTCCACCAATTTCTAGCTAAGTGGTTACTCCTTAGAAATGTATGTGTTTTCCAAAGCAGTTTATTAAACAGTTAGCTTGATGTGTTTTTTCCTAAGGGCTTCATGTTAGATTACTCTTCATGATCAGTAACCCATTATTGTGTATAATTGTAGTTTCCCCTGCTAGCAAAATTAGCACAGGATGTGTATTGAAGACTAAGTGCAATTTATCAGTTCTTTTCTGTGCTGTTATTTTAATACTTTCTTAAGCACCCTACCCTTCCACCATATGGGCATCAAGCTCTGGTCTTCCCAGTGAGTATCATTTGATTAGGGTTAAAATAACCTAATTCTACTAGTGACTGTAGAGGCCTAGGACATTAAATAAAACTACAGGGCAACTGAGTTTATTATTTTCTTTTCTTTTTTTTTTAGAGACAGAGTCTCACTCTGTTGCCTAGGGTGGAGTACAATGGCACAATCTTGGCTCACTGCAACCTCTGCCTCCCAGGTTCAAGCAATTCCCCTGCCTCAACCTCCTGAGTAGCTGGGACTACAGAGGCACATTGCCACGCCTGGCTAATTTTTTGTATTTTAGTAGAGACGGGGTTTCACCATGTTGCTCAGGCTGGTCTTGAACTCCTGAGCTCAGGCAATTTGCCCGCCTTGGCCTCCCAAAGTGCTAGGATTACACATATGAGCCACTGTGCCCTGCTGAGTATATTATTTTCATACCAACTTGTCATAAATCCCTTCTATAATATTTGTGTAAACCCAAAAATATGCAAACATTGTTTTTGTGAAATGTTGATCAGCTTTTTTTTTTTTTTTTTTCTCTCTGGACTGAGTCTTGCTCTATAGCCCAGGCAGGAGTGCAGTGGTGCCATCTCAGCTCACTGAAACTTCCGGCTCCTGGCTTCAAGTGATTCTCGTGCCTCAGCCTCCCAAGTAGCTGGGATTACAGGCGCCCACCACCATGCCTGGCTAATTTTTGTATTTTTAGTAGAGACAGGGTTTCACCATGTTGGCCAGGCTGGTCTTGAATTCCTAACCTCAAGTAATCTGCCTGCCTTGGCCTCCCAAAGTGTTGGGATTACAGGCGTGAGCCGCTGAGCCTGGACTGATTAGCTCTTATAGGTCTTTAACATGTAAATTATTCAAAGACTAACCAATTCAAATTAATTTTTTCAAATTACAACTTAAAAAAACCTGGCATGGTGGCTCATGCTTGCAATCCCAGCACTTTGGGAGGCTGAGGCGGGCGGATTACCTAAATTCAGGAGTTTGAGACCAGCCTGGCCAACATGGTGAGACACTGTCTCTACTAAAAATAGAAAAATTAGCTGGGCATGGCAGCATGTGGCTTCAGCTACTTGGGAGGCTGAGGCAGAAGAATTGCCCAAACCTGGGAGGCAGAGGTTCCAGTGAGCCAAGATCGCACTGCTGCACTCCAGCCTGGGCAAAAGAGTGAGACTCCATCTCAAAAAAAAAAAAAAAAAAAATGGAAAAGAAAAAAGGATGTCTGCTTTTAAAAAGTTCTCTACAAGTCCCTTAACTTCTAAGTTCCTTACAGGAAACATCAGATGAACTCTGATGTAACTTTGAAATGTCCCTTAAAGGTGAAAAAAGATACCTTAATTGTAAAGAAAAATAAAAGGAAAAAAATGGGCTATTTCTTCACTTTCTAACAGACTGTGTATTTTTGGACAGATTCTGCCTTTGTGTAATTATCATAAACTTTATGATAATGAATATTTGCTAAGTTTTAGGTCCTATCTGAAGTCACCTTTAGAAGCAAGAAACCTTCCTTGCCTTTTGAATGAGGTTATGTCTGTTACCAGCATCTCATCATTTTATCTGGGGAATGATTACATCAGAGCTATGGAAATCCTGGGCTAAAGTGATTACTTTTGTAGAGCATGCATTTTGAGACAAACCGTTTACCTAAATGGAAGTAGATTACCTTCCCTTTTTCCTACATAGTATTTGCTTGAATTGTTAAATTGAGAAATATATTTAATTCTTACTACATATAAAATTTTGTTTTACATGCTATCATGAAATTCAAAGGAAAATCTCCCTGTAGAATTTCACAGTCTAAAAGTTCAAATATTAAAAGTCAAATTCAATGTTTACTTTTTGGACCTTTATTTTTGTCTGGTATTTATAATTTGCTAACATTGTAAGGAAAAAGAAACACAGGAAAGGCCCCATTTTGAGCTTTCGTAGACTGTAAGTGCCACGAGGGGGTCAACCATGTCTGTCTAAATAAATATTCGCTGTATGAACAAGTAGAAAAATGAGGAACAATATAGTCCCATGAAATAAGATAAAGGTTATGTATTTTAACTGAGATACAGGTATAAGCTAGGCCAAAGGAGCCTAATGGGATGGTTACTTATTATGCAAATAATGTCTTCCTTTATTAAATCAAAATAGTTTGTAAGTGTAATCAAAACACAATTCTACACCAAAGTTTCTCTCTTTATTTTTTCTGTTTTTGAGATGGAATTTCGCTCTTCTTGACTAGGCTGGAGTGCAATGGCATGATGTCAGCTCACTCCAACCTCCACTTCCTGGGTTCAAGCAATTCCCCTGCCTTAGCCTCCAAGTAACTGGGATTACAGGCATGCGCCACCATGTCCAGCTAATTTTCTATTTCTGGTAGAGATGGGGTTTCTCCTGTTTGTCAGGGTCATCTTGAACTTCCTACCTCAGGTGATCCGCCTGCTTTGGCCTCCCAAAGTGCCGGGAATACAGGCATGAGCCATCGCGTCTGGCCAGTTTCTCTTTTAGCTATCATTATTATCTCTCATACTATGCTTAGTTTTACTATAAAATACTTACTTTGAATGCGTTTGCTTTGATTCCTCTACTCTTGATTTTGTTGTATTTTGCATTAAATAAAGTGAGCTTGGGAGGAAGAACTGGAAGTTTTAGTAGTTGATTTTCAGCAAGTGAAAGTTCTTCTAACAGAGAAAGTTTTGAAAAAGTACCATCTTCTATATCTTCTATCAAATTTCCCGTAAAATCAAGTCTTCTTAAGTTAGCTTGAGGGAAAAATATACAAAAAATAACTAAATAAGTAAAATTCTTATTGTATGGACTGAAGAAAAGCATTTTTTTTTAACAGATCACTCAAATCTTTCATTTTTAGTACACGGTAGAGTATCTACAACTCATAGCCCAGTAAAGCTTTGTCGAATGATCACTGAGCACCTCTTCTTGCCTGAAACTGCTGCCCTTTCTGACTGGAGTCCTAGAATCTCAGGCTTGAAAGTGACCTTAAGGCTGGGCACAGTGGCTCATGCCTGTAATCCCAGCACTTTGGGAAGCCAAAGTAGATGGATCACCTGAGGTCAGTTGTTCAAGACCAGCCTGGCCAACATGGTGAAACCCCATCTCTACTAAAGAGACAAACCTTAGCCGAGTGTGGTGGCGTGTGCCTGTAATCCCAGCTGCTTGGGAAGCTCAGGCAGGGAATGGCTTGAACTTAGAAGATGGAGGTTGCAGTGAGCCAAGATCACGCTACTGTACCCCGGCCTGGGTGGTAGAGCAAGACTCCATTTCAAAAAAAAGAAAAAGAAAGAAAGAAGTGATCTTAAAGTTAATCAAGTCTTTTAATCTTTCTCTCTTCAAATTCCTCAGGATGGCCAGGCAGTTAGAAAGAAATTCTTGTTTCAAATCATGGAAAGTAAGCATTACATTTTATTGGAATCATGTAATATTTTTAGATATTTTTCTGGCATGTTGCATTGTAAATCTGAGTATGTTATCTTAGTATTTCTATGCCTTATCACTTAACAACAAAGACAAGGATGTTCCCTGATTTGTTAAAGTGACACAGATTGAGAGAGAAATTCAGGGGGGGTGTGTGTGTGTGTGTGTATACTGTGTGTGCATTGCTTATATCTGGGATAATTGGGAAATACAATTGCTTCTTATTCACAGGAGTTATGTTCTAGAAAATTACCACAAGGGCTGAATTTGTGAATACTGAACCATTATTCCTAGGAGAAATACAGGGTTACGTCCCTGTGAGCCTCTGGACACACATTTCCATCAACTAATTAGTACATATATGTGTTTTTGCTTAAAGATAACTCGCTTCATATATATTGTTGAATCATTAATATTGCACTATAACTCTTACCTGAACAAACCTTATCTAACGTATTTTCTCTGCAGGCATGTCACACCCTTTTTGTGCTTAGGGATGTTAGACATCACTTCAGCATCATGTGTTGGGTCATGTTAAACAGCAAAATCAGGCCAGATGCAGTGGCTTATGCCTGTAATTCCAGCGCTTTGAGAGGCCAAGGTGGGCAGATCACTTACGGTCAGGAGTTCAAGACCAGCCTGGCCAACACAGCACAACCCTATCTCTACTAAAATTGCACACACACACACACACACACACATACACATAAAAGTAGCCTATGTGGTGGTGCATGCCTGTAGTCCCAGCTACTTGGGAGGCTGAGGTACGAGAATCCCTTGAACCTAGGAGGTAGAGGCTGCTGTGAGCCTAGATTGTGCCTCTGCACTCCAGACTGGGTGACAGAGCAAGACCCTGTCTCAAAACCAAAAAAACCCCCAAAATCAATAAACAGCAAAAGTATAAACAAAAAGCAAAAAAAAAAAAAAAAAAAGTGAAAAACATGTCATTAAATAGGCTGTGAACAGGGCATTCATTTACAGTATGAGAACTGGAACCAGAAGACAGTGTTACTGTGTTCAACATGAAATGGGAATATGCATGTCAAGTAACTCAAATTTTTTACCACTTTGAGCATGTCTGAGAATGACCATGAAAGTACCATGTGTATTAATTTTGGGGTTATAAATTAATTTTAGCAAGTGGGTTAATTCACAAATATGGAATCCACAAATAACAAAGATCAACTATACTTAAATCCACATTTGGAATCTATCAGTGGCAGCATGGATCTGGTTATGGTTACTCTCATAAATGTGTAGTGGGGCCAGTATGCATTTCTCGGTGTTATTTTCTTCAGAACTCTTGACAATATTAGGAATCTAGAACAGTGACAAGAAATTAATGATCTAGGATTGGGATTTGGTACTGCATAAATGGAGGATGCCAGTGTGCTTATGGCAACACTCCAATTGAGTTAAGGTTTGCTGGAAGTTCAAGATTGATAATGACCTGGTAAAGAATTAAATACCACTGTTCTCAACACTATTTCCATATTAGAATCATCCAAGGAGTTTGTTTGTTTTTGATGATGTTGCCTGGGCCCTAATCCACATCTGAATTACAACCCCTAGAAAGTAGGACCTGGTTTCAGTATTTAAAAAATACTTCCCTGCCTGGCACGTTGGCTCACACTTGTAATCCCAGCACTTTGGGAGGCAAGGGTGGGCAGATCACAAGTTTAGGAGTTCAAGACCAGCCTGGCCAACATGGTGAAACCCCATCTCTACTAAAAATACAAATATTAGCCAGACATGGTAGGTGAAAGCGATTCTTTCACCTCAACCTCTCAAGTAGCTGGGACCACAGGCATGTGCCACCATGCCCAGCTAATTTTTGTATTTCTAGTAGAGACAGGGTTTCACCATGTTGGCCAGGATGGTCTAGATCTCTTGACCTCGTGATCCGCCCACCTCGGCCTCCCAAAGTGCTGGGATTACAGGTGTGAGCCACTGTACCTGGCCAGTTTCTGTGTTTTTATAGTGCAGGTAGATAATAAAACATTGTGGTTGGAGAAGCATCCCAGTTATACTGGTGTTACTCAGTGTCTAAAGCAAGAGATCCTGAAGTATAGGAATTGAGAAGATATAGTTACTGTATGTTAGATGGGCTGTCAACATAGCCACTGAAGTCACCAGTAAAGAAAGATCACAGGATCTGTCTGAATGGAAAGATGATTCACCAACAAATGAATGGACTTTTGTGAAACGAGTTAGATGCTTATGTACTCCAAGTGACAAACCTATATGTAACAGGCAGCAACTATATAGAAACGTGTTTGTTTATATGAGTTAAATACTAATATGAGTTAATACTAATATCATATTTCAGCTTAACTTACGTATGTCTGCAAAATCTTTGGCAGTCAGCTTTTTAATTTTGTTGAATCGTGCGTAAAGATAGGCTGATTCCTTTGGCAAGGGTGGTACAGCATCAATGTCAACTTCTTCACAGTATACAGAGCCACTTAAACAAACACACAGCAGACACGTGGGCATTTCTAAATTGGAAAATAAAATCATAAGATAAACAATAGTTTGAAAATATTTGGCCTCTACTATTAAAATTATTGCTGTTATGAATGCTATTACTAATTTGAAGAGTTGTTTTACAGAATCATAAGAAATCATACTCATATTAAATTTGTTGTGTGAGAAACATATTTCAGATTGGTCAGAGTAGCTAGACTTTAGTAACCACTAGTTAAATAAAGAAACCATTAACTTGAAAATTAGAGTAATTGTAGGTACTGTTTGGATCCCATAGCACCCCAACTCATCCATTAAATTTACTTGTCATGCCTCTTGGAACATTCCTTAGTCTTTGTTTTTTATACCTTTTCCTGTTTTTGAAAAGTGTAGGGCTTTTTTTTACTTTAGTTTTATTTTTCAGGGCATTTATTTTGCAGAATGTCTTTCAGTTGGCAGAGGTTTCTCATTTTTGGCAGGAGTACCATGGATCCTCAGTGCTGTGTATCCAAAAGCACATGATATCTGTTTATCCTATTCTTGATAATATCTTTGGTCACTTGGTTCAAGTAGTATTCATCATGTTTCTCACTGAGTAAAGTTACTCTTTTTTACTTCATAACTAATAAGTAATTCTGGAGAAGTACTTTGAGAATCTAAATGTCTGATGTGACATTGTACTTTCACATACTAGTTTTAGCATCCATTGATGATTCTTACCTCAATTGTTTGTGACTAACCAAATAGTGATTTTGTAATTCATTTTTATTTTTCTAATTCATTATTTCAATAATTCATTATTATTAAACATTTGTTAGTTGGTATTCTCTTCTTATTTTTTATGTCAATATGTACTTTATATATTTTATTATTTATTTGCTTATTTATTTTTGAGACAGAGTCTTGCTCTGTTGCCCAGGCTAGAGTTTAGTAGTGTGATCCTGGCTCACTGCAACCTCCACCTCCCTGGTTCAGGTGATTCTCCTGTCTCAGCCTTCCGAGTAGCTGGGATTACTGGCACATGCCACCATACCTGGCTAATTTTTTTGTGGAATTTTTAGTACAGACAAGTTGTACCATGTTGGCCAGGCTGGTCTTAAACACCACCTCAAGTGATTTGCCGGCCTCAGTCTTCCAGAGTGCTGAGATTACAGACGTGAGCCACTGCACCTGACCTATTTTGATATATTTTAAATATATCAAATAAACATGTCAAATTTTATTTTTTGAATTTTTTTTTGTTGTTGTTTGTTTTGAGATGGAGTCTCGCTCTGTTGCTCAGGCTAGAGTGCAGTGGCACTATCTTGACTCACTTCAGTCTCTGCCTCCTAGGTTCAAGCAAGTCTCCTGCTTCAGACTCCCAAGTAGCTGGGATTATAGGCATGTGTACCACACCCAGCTAATTTTTTTGTATTTTTAGTAGAGACTGGGTTTCACCATGTTGGCCAGGCTGGTTTCAAACTCCTGACCTCAGGTGATCTGCCCACCTCGGCCTCCCAAAGTGCTAGGATTACATGTGTGAGCCACCACTCCCAGCCTATTTTTTGAAATTTTAATTGATATTTTTATATCAATATGAACTGTGTCTTGTGAATTATAACCCATGTTTAACAATCAAATTGTCACAGATTAGCCAGTGAGTGCCCTTTCAAGCTTTTTTTCCTACTACAGCTTTTTGTGGTTAGTTGACATACAATTAATTGCACATATTTAAATCATACAATTTAAAAAGATTTTTACATATGTATACCCACATGAAACAGTCACTACAAGTGAGTTAATTAACATATCTATCACTCCAAAAAGTTTCCTCCTGCCCTTTGGTAATCTCTCCCTTTCACTCTTGTCCTCAAGCAATGACTGACCTGCTTTTGGTCAATATACATTAGTTTGCATTTAGAAGAATTTTATATTAAAAGAATTGTGTAGTATCTACTCTCTTTTCTCACTTCTTTTGCTCAGTATTACTATTTTGAGTTTCAATCTGTTTCAGTAGTTTATTCTTCTTTATTACTCAGTAGTATTCCATTGTCTCATTGTATACAATTTACATGGTCATTTCGTATGGACATTGGGTTGTTTCCAGGTTTTACTATTTCAAAGAAAGTTATGTATAAGTTTCTGTGGACTTAATGCTTTCATTTCTCTTGGGTGAATACCTAAGGAGTGGAATGGCTGGGTCTTATTATAAATGTATGTTTTATCTTTTGAAGAAGGTATCAAACAGTTTCCAAAGGACTGTGCCATTTCACAGTCCTAACAGCAGCATATGAGAGTTCTAGCTGTTCCACATCCTTGCCAACATTTGGAATGGTCAGTCTGTTTAATTTTAGTGATTGAAATGTAGGGCATGTTATAGTATCTCATTGTGTTTTCATTTGTATTCTCTGATAACTAATGATGTAGCATCTTTTTATATGTTTGTTTGCCATTCATATATTTTCTTTGATGACTTGTCTTTTTTTCCTCTCTCTTATCAATGTCTTTTGGAATTGAAACATTTTAAATTTTAATGAAGAACAGTTGACTCCTTTATAATTCATGGTTTCTTTATTGTATTTAAGAAATGTTTGCTAACCACTAAGATTTGACACTTTGCTTTCTTCTAGAAAGTTGTATACTTTAAACTCTTTACCTTTAGGTATGGTGTATACTTTGGGCTAATTTTTTTACATGGTGCCAGGAACGGTTAAGATTCTTTTTTGAAAAATTTTTACAGTTGTCTGCTTCTTTCAGCACCATTTTTGAAAAAGATTATTCTTTTCCATAGAATTGTGTTGTCACATTGCCAAGAACTAGTTGTTTACTTCATGTTAGCCTGTTTCTGGATTCTATTTTGTTCTGCTGATCAACTTTAATATTTTTATGCCAATACTGCAGTATCTTGATTCCTGTACCTTTATAATAGTCTTATTATTATAAATCCTACAACTTTGTTGTTCTTCGATGTTGTTTTTTCTAGGTCCTTTACATTTTTATATATATTTTAGAATCAGCTTGTTATTTAAACAGCAACGAAAAACCTATTAGGATTTTGATTGGGATTGTGTTGGGGACAACTGATATCTTAATGATATTGAGTCTTCCAGACCTTGAACATAATACATTTCTTCTTATATGTAGATATATGCAGATACAATCTTCTTTAATTTCTCTTAGCAGCATTATCTAGATTTTAGTGTAGAAGCCTTACATACTTTTTTTTTGAGACAGGATCTCACTTTGTCACCCAGGGTGGAGTACAGTGGCATGATCATGGTTCACTCCAACCTCGACCTCCCTAGCTCAAGCAATCCTCCTGCCTCAGCCTCCCAAGTAGCTGGGACTACAGATTTGTGCCACCACACCTGGCTCTTTGTTAAATTTTTTGTAGAGACATGGTGTCACTATGTTGCCCAAGCTAGTCTCAAATTCTTGAGGTCAAGCAATCCTCTCGCCTCAGCGCCTTCCCGTATGCATCTTTTGTATCTGTTTCTCTCATATATTTTGATGGATTTAAAAACATTTTGTGGGGAGGCTAGGTGCAGTGGCTCATGTATGTAATCCTGGCGCTTTTGGGGGCTGAGGTGGGTGGATCATTTGAGTTTAGGAGTTTGAGACCAGCCTGGCCAACATTGTGAAACCTCATCTCTACAAAAAAAAATACAAAAAATAGCAAGTGTGGTGGCACATACCTATAATCCCAACTACTTAGCAGGCTGAGGCAGGCAGGAGGACCGCTGGAGCCCAGGAGGTCAAGACTACAGTAAGCTGTGACCATGCCACTGTACTCCAACCTGGGTAACAGAGCAAGATCCTGTCTGTCTCTCTCTCTCTCTCTCTCTATCTCTCTCTGTCTCTCTCTCTCTCTCTCTCTCTCTCACACACACACACACACACACCATAAATAAATAAAAATTTAAAAAATTAATGCCCCCACTATTCTTTGAGAACTTCCTTATTTTTTATTTTTCTTTGTTTTTTTTGAGACAGAGTCTCCCTTTGTCCCCCAGGCTGGAGTGCAGCGGCGTGACCTCGGCTCACTGCAACCTCCATCCCCCAGGTTCAAGTGACTCTCCTGCCTCAGCCTCCCACGTAGCTGGGATTACAGGTGCCTGCCACTGCGCCCAGCTAATTTTTATATTTTAGTAGAGACAGGGTTTCACCATGTTGGCCAGGCTGGTTTTGAACTCCTGACCTTGTGATCTACCCACCTTGGCCTCGCAAAGTGCTAGGATTACAGGCGTGAGAAACTATGCCAGGCCAGAGAGCTTCCTTATTTTCTAACATTGCAAGATGTCCCAAACCAACCTTGTATTGTTCCTGCCCCAACCCTGAAATCACCTATCACTTTAGGAAGTATTGGTTTTTTTTGTTTGTCCGTTTGTTTGATTTTGAGACAGAGTCTTGCTCTTTTGCTCAGGCTGGAGTGCAGTGGCGCAATCTCGTCTCACTGCTACTCTGCCTCCTGAGTTCAAGCAGTTCTCCTGACTCAGCCTCCTGAGTAGCTGGGATTACAGACATGTGCCATCACAACAGGCTAATTGTGTGTGTGTGTTTTTAGCAGAGACAGGCTTTCGCCATGTTGGCCAGGCTTGTCTGAAACTCCTGACCTCAGGTGATGCACCCACCTTGGCCTCCCAAAGTGCTGAGATTACAGGCATGAGCAACCACACCCAGCCAGCATTGGTTTCTTTTAGTGGAGAATGGTATTAGAAACCAAGATGTAGGTGCTAGGATGCTCATTGCCATTGAGATCATGTTGCTTCCAGGCCCTTTCAGCAGAGAGAGCTAGGAAATAAATGTGTGTGTATATTTGTCTCTTTCTCCATAAATAATACACATACATGCAATATATATACGGATATAAACATATACATTATACATGCGTATGTTTACCATATACTCATATGTATACATAAGCACACACAGAGATAAACAGAGATATACATGTCTATATTTTTGTATCTCTTTATATGTACAAACTGTGAGTTAATACTGGTATCTTCTATTCCAAACCAACTCAGCATTCTTTCTAGCCTTCCATGATTTCAGATTTGTAATGTTTCTCTTACAGTGCGGAACCTGGCTCTTATTATTTACAGTATATTTACTTAGTTCTGGCACACACATTAAATAGTTCCAGTATTGCTAAGTCATAATACTGTGCATAGCAAACGTACTCACTGGGCCTCAGCATTCGTTTGAAGTTCTTTTTTGTCCTTAGCCTAAAGGTATGTTGCCAAACTGTGTTTAATGGTTACTTAAATTAGATTTTATTCTTACTTTAGAGTGTTACTAATTTGAAATACAATTAAGTTTATTTTTTTATGTTTGTATTCCAATTTGGGTTCTTTTTACCTTGTTCTTGTTGATTTCATTTATATATGTATTTAGTTTTTTGACTACGAAACAGCATTGTTCTAAAAATTAAATCTACATTTAAAAGTATACTCAGAGAACTGCCATCCCCTCTCCCACAATTTCTTTTTATCCTGTATTTATTTTCACAGAAATAAGCAGATACATACATATTTTCTTATGTCCCTTTCTTTCTTACATGAAAGACAGCATATTATAGATATTCTTTTGCACTTTGCTTTTTTTCACATAGTGTATCCTGGAAATCACTCCATTTTAGTTCTTAGAGATCTTCCTCATTCATTTTTACAACTGCATAGTGTTCTGTTCTGTTGGATTTACCCTTGTTTATTCAACTACTCTTCAGTGTTTGGGCAGTTAAATTATTTCTGATATTTTGCAATTGCAAGCAATGCTTAGTGATTTTTTGTTTATATTTATTTTGGAGTATATCATCAAGATAAATTTCTCAAAGGTGGCTAGGTGTGGTGGCTCATGCATATAATCCCAGCACTTTGAGAAGCCAAGGCAGGGGGATCACTTGAGGTCAGGAGTTCAAGACCAGCTAGACCAACATGGTGAAACCCATCTCTACTGAAAATACAGAAATTAGCCTGGCCTAGTGGTGCATGCCTATAATCCCAGCTACTCGTGAGGCTGAGGCAGGAGAATCACTTGACCCCAGATGGCAGAAGTTTCAGTGAGCTGAGATTGCATTGCTGCACACCAGCCCCAGTGACAGAGCTAGACTCTGTCTCAAGAAAAAAAAAAAAAATTTCTCAAATTTGATTCTTATGTCAAAAAGTAAATGCATTTTTGATTTTGTTGGGTATTGCCAAATTCCTGTCTAAAAGCATTGTGCTGATTTGCCCTTCCTGCTGCAGTGTATGAGTGTCTTACCCCATAGCCTTGTTCATCGAAAATATTAATATGTTGTCATACTTCAAATTTTTTCAGTCAGATAGGTTAGAAATGGTATCTCAATATATTTTTAATTAGTATGTCTCTGTGTGAGATTGAACATTTATTTGAGCCAAATCATTTAAATCCTCTTGTGAATTGTCATTTTTCTTTTTTCTTTTTCTTTTCTTTTCTTTTTTTTTTTTTTTTTTGAGACGTTTCGTTCGTTACCCAGGCTGGAGTGCAATGGCACGATCTTGGCTCACCGCAACCTCCGCCTCCTGGGTTCAGGCAATTCTCCTGCCTCAGCCTCCTGAGTAGCTGGGATTACAGGCACGCGCCACCATGCCCAGCTAATTTTTTGTATTTTTAGTAGAGACAGGGTTTCACCATGTTGACCAGGATGGTCGCGATCTCTCGACCTCGTGATCCACCTGCCTTGGCCTCCCAAAGTGCTGGGATTACAGGCTTGAGCCACTGCGCCCGGCCCGAATTGTCATTTTTCTAATGGATTTTTGTTTAATCTCTTTTCCTTGATTTTTTTTTTTCTTTTTCTTTCTTTCTTTTTTTTTTTTTTTTTGAGACGGAGTTTCGCTCTTATTATCCAGGCTGGAGTGCAATGGCGCGATCTCGGGTCACTGCAACCTCCGCCTCCTGGGTTCAGGCAATTCTCCTGCCTCAGCCTCCTGAGTGGCTGAGATTACAGGCACGCACCGCCATGCCCAGCTAATTTTTTTTATTTTTAGTAGAGACGGGGTTTCACCATGTTGACCGGATGGTCTCAATCTCTTCACCTCGTGATCCACCCGCCTCAGCCTCCCAAAGTGCTGGGATTACAGGCTTGAGCCACCGCGCCCGGCTTTTCCTTGATTTTTAAGAGTTCTTTATAAATTAGAGATACTAGCTCTTTATCTAGTTATTTAATTGTCGTATATGTTGCAAATATTCTTCCCAGTTTTTAGTTGTGTTAGACTTTGTCACATGAATTTGTGGGGTCAAATTTATTCTTTTCTATTATTGTCTCTTGGTTTTGAGGCACCCTGTATCCAGATTATTTTCTAGTGCTTGTATGGTTTTGTTTTATACATACAGATAGCTAATCTATCAGGAGCTTATTTTTGTGTTTAAGGTATGGATCTAAATGTGTCTCTTTCCAAATGGCTATTTCTCCCAGCACCACTTTTTAAAAAACCCATTTTGCTTCAGTGATTTGAGTTGGTACCTTTATTATGTACTAAATTTTCATGTGTATTTTTGTCGGTTTCTGGACTTTCTATGCTATTTCATTGATCTTTTTGTCTGTTCATATACTAGTATCGTACTTTTTAAAATATAGAGTTTTTATAATATATTTTAATGTGTAGTGCATCTGCTTCCTATGTATACTTGTCATTGTTCATTGTTTTCCCTTGCTATTTGTTACATGTTGTGTCATATGAATTCTGGAATCCATTTTTCCAGCTTTATAAAAAAATTTATTGGTAATTTTAGCTGGATTGTTTATAATTTATAAATTTAGAAAGAGCTGACATCTTTATGATTTTGAGTCATTCTATCCAAGAACAAGGGATGTCTTTAAATTTATTCAAATTTGTTTTTACTATCATACTTCTCATTTTTTAAGCGTTATTTTCTTTTATGATTCATTTTCATTTTATTGTAGCAATATAGAAATCAGCTGGGCATGGTGGCTCGCACCTCTAATCCCAGCACTTTGGGAGGCTGAGGTGGGTGTATCACAAGGTCAAGAATTCAAGACCAGCCCGACCAACATGGTGAAACCCCATCTCTACTAAAAATACAAAATTAGCTGGGCGTGGTAATGCACGCCTGTAATCCCAGCTACTCGGGAGGTTGAGGCAGAAGAATCACTTGAACCCGAGAGGCGGAGGTTGCAGTGAGCTGAGATTGTGCCACTGCACACCAGCCTGGGTGACAGAATGAGACTCCATCTCAAAAAAGAAAGAAAAAAAAGAAAGAAATGTGTGTTGGCTAGGCTTGGTGGCTCGCACCTGTAATCACAGCACTTTGGGAGGCTGAGGTGGGTGGATCATGAGGTCAGGAGTTCGAGACCACCCTGGCCAACATGAGGAAACCCTGTGTCTACTAAAAATACAAAAAATTAGCCGGGCTTGGTAGTACACGCCTATAATCTCAGCTACTCAGGAGGATGAGACAGGAGAATCGTTTGAACCCAGGAGGTGGAGGTTGCAGTGAGCTGAGATCATCCCTTTGCACTCCAGCCTGGGTAACATAGTGAGACTCTGTTCCTCCCACCCCAAAAATAAATAAATAAAATAATTAATATGTGGTTTTTTTTTTCATGTTTTTGTGTAAAATAGTGTTCTGTGATAGAGCAAGAGTAAACCAAGTACAGAGGTATTATTAAGTAGGACTTGTAATTTGTTATTTCATGACAAGTTTTCTAAAATTGAAATATACATGAGAGCTATTTAGGTATATATCTGTTTCTGTTCTGTGAGTTTCTTAAAGGTAATAATTCTATGTACCACATTCTGAGGCTCTACATTATATTTGGCAAATTATCAGTGTTTAAGTATTTCTTGAATTGATTTTGTATGGACAGAAACCACAGTTTGTGGAGGCTAAGCTTGCCCACACTTTGATTGGTAATACTTACCATCATTTTCTTTCTTGGGAGGTAATGGTGTTATTGTCTCATCATTTTGTAATTGAAGCCTTTTCTTATTGGGTATTCTCACAGTTTCTTTTTCCTATCGGAAAAATAAAATTTTGTTACCTAGGTTGATTAAGTCTGTGTTTGACTGTAAAACTGAGGGATCACAGGCACCTTCTTATCGTTACAATTAGTGGCATTTCTTTTGTGCTTCATTAGACTTTCATACCTATTTCCATTTTATTATTTATTAAATTACAATATAAATATTTTTTAGCTTGGCTTTATTTTAGACTATGATCCCCTTGTGTAAAAAAATTGGGTGTTTTTATTTTATGTCTTCAGTGGCTGAACTCAGTGCTTAATAAATATTGAACATATTGAAATTCCAAATGAGAGCTAGGTGAGAATTCCCTCAATTGAAATGAAAGTTTTCTGAGGTGAAACTATTCCTCAGGGTTTTATTTATTGATTGATTTATTTTACCTCAGGGGTCTTATTTGAGTTTCTCATTCAGATTCTACCATTTTGAGCTAGGCTAGATCTCCAGCCATGTCACAAGTCTAACTCCTGATTAAGGTCTTTTGGTCTCTTCTTGTGCTTACCCTTTACTTACCTATTCCTCCATTAAGTCCTGGCTCTTGGAGCCCTTTTATTCCAGCCTACCTACCCTGCTGAGGCCACTGGTATAGGCCATTAATTCTGGGGAAATTGGAGTTGATATAATTTAGTCTCTCTTTTTCCTGTTCTTGGAGGGTACATTTTCTGCCATTAGATTACAGTGTAGTATGTGGTATCCTACTCTTTATGTCCTTTGTAAGCATGTTTCATTTTAGTCTCCGTCGTGACTCCCGACTCTGCCCTTCACCTTCATTCTCCCATCTGTGTAGTGGTTGAACTTCCTCCCTTTACTCTGTGTTTGCACATCAAGTCCTTTTGAATTCTACTCCACTCCACAGATATCTTAGTCCCTGCATTTATGTTAAGATAAACTTCTAAAGCCCTGTAAAGAGAAGAAGCAGAGAGAAAAATCATCTCTAAACTCTTTAGGGACCAGGGAATCTTGAAAGAGTTTTTAATAGATTCAAGTCATCCAAGTGAGCCAATAGCTTATGTTATGATGGGCCTTTTAAAAAAAATTTATTTGAAGCTATAATTAGTAATACCTATCCTTTGTGTTTTATTGATGGGCAAAAATAATGCTATCATATCAAAAGCATTACTTGAAAGAAACTGTGGTGTTAACATTTGCTCATTATTTATCCCTGCAAAAAAGAAAAGAGAAAGTAGCAATTGTAACTGGTCAATCTTATAATTATTATCATCCAATTTAAAGTGGAGAAGAACTTCTGAAACAATCAGTATTGTTGAATTTCTTATTTTCCTCTGTGTGTGTGGGTGGGGGGTGGGGTGTGTGTGTGTGTCATACACAGTGGGCAACAGATACCAATGTGCTGTGTTAAATTTTTCCTTACCAGCATTCATTTCTGTGTGCCAAGAAAAACCACAGTAATTACTTTGCCCATAAAGGTGGGGAATGAATGATGTGGTATAATGTCATCCCTATAGTGTTAACTCAATGACAGTTACAGTTACTTGGTTCAAATTGATAGAGAATCTAAAATGTTAAAATTGATTTAAAAAGAAAGCCCTATACTGAGTAGGTTTTCAGTTTTAGGGGCTGTATGTAGATGGCATGTATAAATTATTGTGGGATGCTATTTATATAAAAATAACCAGTACTCTTCTATTTATAGCCTTAAATTTTTTTTCTATAATAATAACCTTAAGCTGATAATTCATCTTTATTTCTCCAAATATACATTTCCACTAATTTATTTTTGAGGCAGTACAACATTGCAAATATAGGGCATTGTGTAATATTACTTAATATATAAATTGCAACTGGTCAGGAATCATCTTAAAGTCTAGTTTTCCTTAAATTTTATTTTTTCATTACTATAGATACTGTTTGGTTACCATAGGTACTGTTCATTAATTTGGGAAGCATGCATACTCTAAAAATATAATCTTAGGGACAATTATGAATTTGTTTGAATTATTTAAAGTGACTTTCCCTTCCCCTTACCTTATCAGACACATTCAGGAAAAACAAAAACATGCATTTAAATGGGCAGTATTTTAGAAACTAAATTTAGAGTAGAAATAAAGTACCTTAATATTTTTTCCATCCAGGTATTTATCCTCATAATCTTGGCTAAATATGGATTCTTCAAAATTATCTGTTCCATAATCATAGATATTGCGTGAGTCCTGCTGAGTTGGTGGTGCTGGCTTTATCAGAGGCACAAACAGTAACAGGAGAAGTGTAGACTGCAGAGTCTTCATTTTAGCAAAAATCAAGGTGACTGGAAGTTAATAAACTAGTGGCCTGCTGACTGTGGGACAAAACTCTTTTTCCCTGGAAATAAAAATTCAGACCATCGAAGCAATATTTAAAAGCTTAGAGGATGTTTTGGCAGGGTGTGCGCAGTAAGGGCCAGAGAACAGTGTTTAACCCTTAGTGATCTTTAATTAGATGCTAGCAGTTTTTATGTATCAGTGAGCATTATGAAAAATAGTTTCAGAAAATAGTTTTATTTCTTCTCTATCAGAAATTCAAGAAAGATTGATGATTTAAGTTTCTTAATAATTAAGTGCCTGGGACAGACATACTAATATTTAATTGAAATATTCTTAGGATACCTGTAGTATAAATAGTTAAAATGAAGTCCCAAGATCCTGTCTCATGTGAGTTTAAAATATCATATTTCAACTTAGCTACTTTATAAGAACTCTTGATTTGTATTGGTATGAACAGAAACAAGTTCCAAGAAAAGTTTTAAAACTTAAATCTTAAATTTAGCATTATGAAAAGTAGTCATTAACACTTAACCTTTAGGTGGTACAGAATATAGGAAAAGCCATATGTTTTTAATTTTTGTAGTTTTGTAATTTTAATAGGTGATCACAATTTTTAGTTAATAATATTGTATTTTTAATTTAAACTATGAAAACAGAAAGAATAGTATTGCAGGCTGGAGAAAATACCAAACTTTAATCAAGGAACTTTGAGGAATATAATAGAAAGGATTCCTTTAGACTCATCAATGGATTTTATCTGGTGGGTACACATTTCAGACTTTTTCTTAAGTAACTTCGAGCAGAATCACTCACAGTTGCTGATGCTGCATTGTAGATGCCAGTTTGTCAAAAATCCAGAGGTTGAAAATGAAGAATAAAATGGATTTGTGACTTTTGCAGCACCCTGTTCCTGTCTGCGTGGATGTTAAAGTTATGCAATGATATATATAAGTACTTGTTAAAAATTAATTGTTTGAGGTAGCTGAAACAAACCGGAGATGGTCTTTACATTTATTAAGACGATTAGATGAATCACACTTTAACAAACAATATTTAAAATAATATGTGAAAAGTAAGCCTACCGTTGTAGCTGTTTTGAAGTTTTTTGTGGTTTTCCTCAATAGATGTTCTTGTCTGTGCATTAGCCCCAAGTGGGAGGGTGAATGAGAAAAGCTATGGCTTGATTTCAAACTGCTGAATAAAATTTCAGGGCCCAGCAGCTGAAGGGCAGTTTCCATGTGGTAGAGATCTTTGCCAGCATTCTTTCTCTAGGGTGAAATACAGTGTGTTGTACTGGAGAACTGTACTTAAGATATTTGTTACAACTGCTACACTCAGTCTGCTTTGACTAATTGACTGTAAACTTGTGTCATTTTATTGTGTAATAAATATTCATGTTTTTGTGAATATTAGTTTATGAAAATGATATAGTTATTAAGTCATGCTTTTCATTTTGGTGATTTCCCGGGAGATTAAACATCTGCTTTTTGAATGAAATAGAACACCAAATAAAAACATAGTCCATGTTGTTAATTTTATGAGAATTAAAAATACTGCCCTAGTACCATAATTAATATATAGCCCAGAAAATTCAAGTGTAAAAATTGGTTTTAGCACAAATTATTTTAGAGTTTTGTCATTTAGGTTTTTTCTCCCCATTATTTTAGTTACATATAAGAAAAACTGACGCATAAAAATTAGCTTTTTAAAAGTAAATTTGATTTATAGTTTTTGAGGATGATAGTAAAAGAGACTTTTCTTTGCTGAATATAGGAAACTTTATAAAATTACTTTAATATTAAAATTGAGTTTAAAAAGTTAAAGTGGCATTGTAGATACCATACAAGCAACTTTAAATATTTTTTTAAAGATTCACTTTTTTAAAATTCCTCTTTGGTGTTTTTAACAATCAAAATAACATTTTCTCTTTTAAGGTAAAAATTTAACAAATATGGATACGTGTTTTATTAAAATGAAAATGAAAGAATACCCATTTGTTTTCTTTTTTAGTCAAAATTGGTTTTAGAACCTTTCAAATCAAAGCTTAAATAAACCAAGACTTGAATACTGAAATTTTTATTTGAATGTGAATTGTCTTAAATTTAGTTGTGATATTGTCTAGCTTGAGTTGATATAAATTGTCAGTTTTATGACTTGAAGCATATGTTAAAACATTTTAAAGACTTTGAAATATATAATAGTGCAACAACAGACATTGATTTGTTTTGTATTGTGTGGCAAGTTAACAAGATGTTGAGAAGTAAGTTGGATAGATATCATGTGTCCAAATAGAGAATCTTAGAGATTCATAGTTTCATTAATTGTACACTTTGATACTTTGTACTACAGAAAATTATTTTGTGGATAACAACTTTCCTTGAAAAATTATGACCAGTGAATACGATGTTATTAGAATTCACTCATTTAATAAAAGTTTATTGAGCACCAGTTCTGTGCCAGAACTTCAGACACATAAACTCAGGTAAACACACATCAGTTTCTTCCCTCAAGGAACATTTATTGCCTCTAAGTTCAGTAAGAAAAGCAGCAGACAAGCAACTACAATACATGATAGGGCTTGCTACACAGAAATGTACAGAGTTCTGTGATAACTTGGGAGAAGCTACAAGCTGACTTTTATAGAAAGGATAAGGGAGGAGAGTTAAGCGATGGGATAGGTGGGAGGGATAGGTGATGGGGTAGGTGATAAGGCAAGAGGAGCATCACATGAGCGGAAGGGATGGGGGTAGATCATTTAGAAAATTTATATATATTTTTTGCATACCACTGGAGCTTGGAGGGAGAGAGAGAAGTCAGGGGAATGGACCATATTAAGAGAGGCACCTAGAGAGTGGGAATAGAGGTTGGATTAAGGAGAGTATTTTATATCCTGCTCAAGTGTTTGAGCTTTAGTTTGTAGTCAGTGAGAGACCATGGAAAGATTTTTTAAGCCAGTGATGGCTTAAATATGATCTTGTTTGCATTTTAGAAACATTCCTCTAATGTTACATTGTTGAAGAATACCACTGTTCGTCTATTATAGTGGTTATCTATTACTGTGTAAAAAACTACCACAAAGGAATGGCTTATTTAAAATAACACACATTTATTATATCACAGTTTCTGTGGGTCAGGAATTCAGCATGGCTTTGCTTCAATCCTGAAGCATTGTCTGCTTCAGGATCTACATTTGAAGTACATCTGGCATTGCAGCCTCACTTCAGTGGTTGAATAGGGAAGGATCCAATTCTAAGCCCATGTGGTTGTTGGCAGCATTCAGTTCCTTGCAGAATGTGAAACTGTGGACCTAAGTTTATTGCTAGCTGTTGACTGAAGGCCTTCCTCAGTTTCTTGCCATGTGACTTCCTCCATAGGGCAGCTTACAACATTGTAGCCCACTTCTTCACAGATGGAGAAGGAAATAGTCTTCTAGCAAGATGGGCATTACCTGCACTTCTGATATCAACAGCAAGTTCAGGAGATTCCCAAAACCACTCTTATTACATTTGATATTTCCCTAGGAGAATTCTCAGAACTCACTGAAGACCATTATACGCATGGTTATGGTTTATATAGAGAAAGGATACCCCTAAAAATCAGCCAGGGAAGAGATGCATAGGGCAGTGTCTAGAGGGCTCCAAACTTGAAGATTCCATTGTTCTCTGGATGCATTGCTTTCCTAGCATTGATATGTGGCAGAGTACATGGCTTATTGCCAACGAGGAAAGTTTATTAGCAGTGTTCAGAGTTTTTATTGGGGCTTTATTAATAGGTTTGATTGATTGATTGATTGAATTCAGCCTCCTGGTCCACTGATAATGCATAACCCAAATCCCTTATCCTATATCACATGGTTAGTCTTTCTGGCATGGCTACCTCAACCTGAAGACTATCAAGTGTGGCTGATCTCATCCTGAACAAAAACACTCCTACTGGAAATGACATAGATCACCTCTCAGAAGCCAAGGCAAAGCCCAGACTTCTCTTTAGGCAAAGCCAAAACCTTTACTACACAGTACTCAGTGTAAAATGCTTGAAACAGATGGTTTTCTATTCCAGAAAGAAATGAATGCTGATAGAAAGCTATTTAGCTTTTACTCTACAGGAGTAAAAGATGAAAGCTGCCTCATACTCAAGAGCAGGCATTGCATCCAAAGATGGAAAAGTCTTCTTTATGGAGTTCTTTTTTTGGAGACAGGGTCTTCTCTGTCGTTCAAGCGGGAGTACAGTGACACAGTCATAACTCACTGCAGCCTCAACTTCATGGGCCCAAGTGATTCTCCCACTTCAGCCTTCTGAGTAACTGGGACTTCATGCGTGCGCCACCATGCCTGGCTAATTAAAAAAATTTTTTAAATAAGGGGTCTCCTTATGTTAGCCAGACGGGTCTGGAACTTTTGGCCTTAGTGATCCTCCCACCTTGGCCTCTGTGTAGTCCTTTTAGGTGACCCTATTGCATTATCTTTGGTGCCTTATAGGGGTTTGATTTCCTTGAACATGTATCATTGGTCTGTTGGCAACCAAAAAAATATGTTGAATGGAATGTTCTTTTGGAAATAAGAGTTTTCAGGGAAAAAGTAGTTTTGGGAAGTGGTTTAATTCTGACAGAGACCATATAACCTCCACATGGATTAGCTTTCAATAAATGCTACAAACTGGAAGAGTCTTTTCCTCATTTTCATCTTCATTCTCTAACTTTGTAGGAAATCATTTGGTTTAGTAGTCAGAACACCTGAGTTCTAGTTTTGTCTTTTTGTTTGTTTTGTTTTTTGAAACAGAGTCTCGCTCTGTCGTCAGGCTGTAGTACAGTGGTGTGATCTCGGCTCATTGCAACCTCTGCTTCCTGGGTTCAAGTGATTTTCCTGCCTCAGCCTCTGGAGTAGTTGGGAATACAGGCGTGTGCCCACCATGCCCAGATCATTTTTGTATTTTTAGTAGAGACAGAGTTTCTCCATGTTGGGATGGCTGGTCTCGAACTTCCCACCTCAGGTGGTCTGCCCGCCTAGGCCTTCCAAAGTGCTGAGATTGTAAGTGTGAGCCACCGTGCCTGGCCCAGTCAAGTTCTAGTTTTGATTCTTCATGAACCTTCCCCTGATCGTGGGCAAGTTCTTTAACGTTTTACGCCACAGTTTCTTTATCTATTGGACTAGAATCAGGTTACTACAGAGTTTCTCAGCCTCTACACTATTGACATTTTGGACTTGATAATTCTCTTTTGTGGGGGCTAGCCTGTGTGCACTGTAGGATGTTTAGCAGCACTTCTGCCCTCTACACACTAGATGCTAGTAGTGGTACCCCACTGTGTGATGACCAAAAATGTCTCCAGACATTGCCAGTTGTCCACTGGTGGGTGGGAGTTGGGGGAGCAAAGTCATTCCTACTGAGAACTGCTGAGTTACTAGATACATGTGGACCCTTTTTAATCCAGCAATCTTGATTTTGTGGAAAGTCTGTGATTTGGCTCTCCATCTTAAATCTCATACTTGAAGCCTAGTTGTTTGTTCGAACAAGAAATATGAGAACCCGGCCGGGCGCGGTGGCTCAAGCCTGTAATCCCAGCACTTTGGGAGGCCGAGGCGGGTGGATCACGAGGTCAAGAGATCGAGACCATCCTGGTTAACATGGTGAAACCCCGTCTCTATTAAAAATACAAAAAATTAGCTGGGCATGGTGGTGCGTGCCTGTAACCCCAGCTACTCAGGAGGCTGAGGCAGGAGAATTGCCTGAACCCAGGACGCGGAGGTTGCGGTGAGCCGAGATCGCGCCATTGCACTCCAGCCTGGGTAACAAGAGTGAAACTCCGTCTCAAAAAAAAAAAAAAAAAAAAGAAATATGAGAACCCGTGTATTCTACTTCCCAGACTAAAGGGTCAAATTTGTATGGAGAGGACATGACTCAATGTAAGGAAGAGCTCATGGTAAAATTGTATCTTATTTGTGAATTTAGTTTTTCTCAGTAGTACATAAATCTCTATAGTGAATTCATAACCTAAACATGTAAAGTGGTGCAAGATGTATCCATGATGTTATGATATTTATAACTAGGCAGATTTATAACTTGGCATAGTTATATCTATTTAGAAAATTGGAACATATAAGAAACTTCAGATGTTTAGCTGTTATGATTTAATTTTGTTTCCAGCTGCTCTTATACTTCATTTCCAAGATGTAGAAGAAATGGACTTAGAATCAGGAAACCAGGGCTTTAGGTCTAGCCATCCTTGGGGACATATGAATTCTTAAAACAGAAAAAGTATATAGA